TCCACATAAAACCGGCTTGAAACCCTCCCCAATCCCTAAATCTCCTAAGCCCAAATCTCAAAACATTTAATCCCTAAAGAAACCAGTTTTAACCTTCTTAAAATGCCAACCACTCGCCTGTGTCTCCTATGGTGCTGCAGGTGTTTATGGGCGGCGATTTATCATCAGGTGATAAGTATTCTCGTTGGCCTCCTATTCCGCCTATTTTTCGGCGTCTCGCGTGATCGCCTCACGCCCTCCTCTGGTGCTGTCCGTGCTTACCATTAGGTAATCCATAAGCACCTTTGCCGACTATACCATAATAAAAAGAAGCTCCTTTGGAGATCAGAACAAAACCGTCGGACTTAAGTAGAAACAAAAAACACTATATTTTCTAATGTTGGACATTCGTTTTCGTCAAAGAAATTATTCGTTCTTTATAATAATTTACTGCCTAATTAACAATACTAATGACGATAGTTACGTATTGCCCTATTACGCATGCCTCATCATATTTATAAAACTAGTTAGTATAGCAACACTTAAGTCTGAAATCATAGGGAAACTTTTTCGTAAACTTTTGCACAATATTTCTTGCTAGATAAAGTCAAAATCAAGTCATCATCTATTTCAAATAGACCACTATAGGCAATTTTGTGCCTATAATGGTTGTCTATCGGTCTGTCATTTACTGAAGCTATTTGCTTGTTCCAAATTGTAGATTCCAATGTAGAAGAACAAGCAACGAACTCCATGGTTACTTTATTTCAATCAATTTTACAATTCATTTTTTTTACATCATTTAATCGGTTATAATTATGTAATACGCCGAAGTCGCTAGTAAATAATCATACAATAAGTAAATTGTCCTTGAGCTACTAACGATGGTCTTTCTTTCGGCAAGAAAGAGACACTTGTATTCTTTGATTGTTAATATGTTGTTCCAGTTTCTTCCTTCATCTTCTTTACTCATTATCTTATTTCATTTAATTTTTTTTTAATGAGCAGACTAATCATTTCTGAAAACAAAAATAAACATAGTTTTTGACAAAAATTACAAACGATTTTTTTTTAATTTCACCCCACCCTAGTATTTTCTCCTGTGCCGTGGTTGCGTTTACAAACATACCATTTCACATACCTACATATTACACCCAGACACGGATCAATAATTTAGGGACTTGCTATCATAATGGTTTTTTATTAGTAGTCGAATAGTGTCTATATTGTACATTTAGACATTTCCTTGGAGATTTAGATTAGATTAGGTATCTAAAAGTGTATATGGCTTTAGCCGCACCCACATTACTCATTAACCTAGCATAACTGACGCAATGAAGCGTTCTCATTTATTATGTTTACTTCTTCAAACCGAACGTACGGAAAACAGCCAACAGACAAATACAGATGGGCTCCAAAAGGGCTGATGTTCATCAAGGGTTGTGCGGAAGCGCAATAAGCGTCCTACCGCGACCTTCGCTTGGTGGGGTAGTTTTAGTTTTAAGTCAATAAGAAAGAAAGAAAGAAAGAAAGATACGTTTATTGGCACACACATACTATACATATTGTAGCAATTAACACAAACAAAAAAAAAAAAAAAAAAAAAAAAAACACGTTACAAAACGGTTGAATTTAAACGTAACAAGATTACAAAACAAAAAAAATAAAAAAATAGTTGCTACTTAAAAAAGAAAGAAAACAAACAAGAGTTGTGCCAAATGGGTCCAGTTCAGCATGAAAGCCAGACAACTAGTGCCTGGCGCTGGTTTTCAACTGTAAGAGTCTGACACTCCCTCTGGCACGAGGGCGAGAGAAGAATTTAGATGACTTTACCCCCCTCTAAAAATAACCTACTTCTTCGTGGATTGAACATTACAATACCTTAGTATACCTACTTCAACTATATTCAAATGAGATATACCTAGCTAGGTACTCAATATATTGAAAATGACTAAATAAATTATTTTTACTTAGCTCAATATCTTTTTTTTTATTAAATAGATCGGCAAACAAGCAGACGGAATTACCTGATGGTAAGTAATCAGCGCCGCCCACGGGCAACCGCAACGGACGAGTTACGAGTGCGTTGCCGATCTTTTAGGGATTAGGTATTTGGAGAAGTAGGGATTGAGGAGGGATTGGGGGTGGGGAAAGTATGGGCCTCCGGTAACCTCACTCACACGGCGAAACACAACGCTGTGGTTGTTTCACGAAAGTTTACTGTGAGGCCGTGGTATCACTCCGGTCGAGCCGACCCATTCGTAGCAAAGCATGGCTCTCCCACACTTAATCTGCATTAAATTTCCTGCGACACTCATTCATAGGTACTATTAGGTACCTACTAATAGATGGTTGGTACAGATTTCACAAAATATACACAACTTCCTTTAGAAACTGCTAAACTACCGTACCAAGTATACGGTGGCTCTATTTCAGCATAACACTCCGTCTGATTGGCACAGAGACAACAGGCATAACATGTCGCGGGCTCGATTGTGATATCGTTTTGATTGTTTGAAAACCCAAGTCGGGGCCAGTTTTTATAATGAACGCTACACACTACTATGTCGTAGATATACCAAGCCATTAGATAAAATCCATCCTTTTTCTGGTTTAGGTATATCTATCTCGTAGCCGTGGTTGGACTGAAATTAATTAAAACGAGCGCCCTAGCTGAATATTAAGTGGCAGACATTTCTTATAGGAATAATTATTACCAATACTTAAGTTTTAGGAACGTATTTACTTAAGTAGATACCTACGTAGGTATTATATGGATAACTTTTTAATCATCAGATAAGTCTTTGAGGTTCATAACGTGGATATGGGTAACTACTGACGTTTATGAAATGCGCTAAATAAAGTGGTTACATTGTCATTGGCGCTAAAAGAACCTGAATTTCAAAATTATACTCGTAGTAGCCAAAGACTTGCTCGCGCGCGTCTACAGTTTGCGCGCAGACGCGCGTCGCCGGGGCGAGGATCCTCTGCCGCGCCAAATTAGTGCGTGGCGGAATGAGCTCCGGCGAGATCTCATGGCTGAGTGGAAGCAGCGACTGTCGCAACCGAGGGCCGGGCACGCTACTATAGCAGCGGTAAGACCCCTCTTTGAGTAGTAGCTTGAGAGACGCCACGGCGTCCTCACTTTCCGCCTGACGCAGATGCTTACCGGGCACGGCAGCTTTGGTAGGTTCCTGTTTCGGATCCAGCGGGAGGAAACGTCCGAGTGTCGTCATTGTGAGTATCACCTGGAGGACACGGTGGCGGAGTGCCCTGCTTGGGCTGAGCACCGCTGTGTTCTCAGGGAAGTGATCGGCGGCGGCGACCTCTCACGCCCGGCCTTAATCGAGGCCATGGTGCAGCGTGAGAGGAACTGGGAAGCTATCTCCTCCTTCTGCGAAGCAGTTATGCTCGCAAAGGAGGAGGCGGAGCGCGTGAGGGAACTATATATATATCACAGAAGCCGCAGAAGGCGACATTCCGGACGTCGGGGATCGAGAGATGATCTCCGGCCACCGTAAGCGCGGGTCTGCGGACGGCGAGTAAGGGTAGCTCGCCGCCCGACCAGAACCGGACCCGAGCGTACGGCGCGTAGCGTTCCGTGCGCGCCTCAAAGAGTCAATAGACCACCACAGTCGGGGCCCGAAAGGGCTGATGTTTAGCCGGGGCTGCGGGGTAAGCGCAATGAGGCACCGCGACCTCGGCCCAGAGCTGTAGAAGGCCCTGCTCCTTCTCCTGTTTTTAGTCAGTAAGAGTCTGACACTCTCTGTCGCCTTACCCTGGGTGGGAGAAGCCATTGGATGATTTTCCCCTGACAAAAAAAAAAAAAAAGTAGCCAAAGACTTTTTCCTTTTTCTCGAGAATAAAGTTCGTTTTTCAAACCTCTCAAAGCATCAAGCAAGGTCCTGTCAATGGAAATTTGATATTGGAAGAGTTGGTTTGTGGCCGACCTGTTCCATCTGCAACATCCACTATATTACTCTACTCTTTGATCTGCAACCACAGCTGTAGGTATACAATACAATCCGGTAGCTTCCAACTAGTGAAATTCAATATCTACTTTTATCCAAATGACAAAAACGATACTTTTCTACGAATTTTGTGTTGAAGTTGTTTGAAACACTGTATAAATAATTTCTTAAAAATTATCTTAACTTTAGTGTATCGATCGATCGGTGAATAAAAATATAGGTAGTTATTTTGTCTTATTATATTGAAACATCGAAATTTTTGACCTTGGAAACTACCCAATTGACAACAATATACTGTCGTGTTGAACAAAAATTAGAACAGTTACCTACTGGAATAAAACCACCTTAGTATTTTTTTAATCAAAATACGATACGTTGCTGGTAGCGCCATCTAGTTCAATTTATATGAACTTCACCACCTGTTTTTACTTCAATGATACTAAAGTCAAGTTATTAGTAACATCGACGTTGCAGCGGTTGATCATGCTTACTGCTTCTTTGTTGACTACATAATTATTATGATTAAATAAAATAATAAAACTATAGTTTATAAAATTTTTGTTTGGCTTAAATGTGTTTTATTTTTATTTTAAGGGGCTGTTTTTTTAATCGACATTTAATTTATTCATCTAAATAATTAATGAGACACTTACACCCGGTTTCCGAAAGGCCGATCAATGTTAAAATCAATTTAGTCTCTTGTCAAGTCATTTGATTGGTTGACTGAATTATCAACAACCAAACAGATGACTTGACAATTGTTTTAACAGGAGATTAGTTAATTTTAGCGTTGACAATGTTGACAAGCCTTTCAGAAACCGGGTGTTAAAGTGAAACAATTGTCCAAGATTCTAAATTATTCATCTAATAAAATATCTAGTATTAGAAAAATAATTATTAAAACTATGTTATGGAAAGCACTTTCCATAACATAATGTCTGCTGCGACTGCAAGTCAGTAATACTAGATCAGGTTTAGATCAAAAAAAACACTTTAATATGCTAAAAAATTTTAATTTAATAAACATATTTTTATTATTCAATATTTTGTGTAAAATTAATAAATATTTGTAGGTGGTGGTCCTCCAAACATGAGATTCCATGAAACTGGATGGACTAACTGTGAGGAAATATCCGAATCATTGAACAATGGTATGACACTGTTCACATACTGAACCATTTCATAGGCATCAGGTATGTTGTCTCCCTCCGATGCAAACTTATACAGGACCAAGCATGGTACGGACTTTGCCTTGGTTATTTCAAATAGTAAGGAAGCAAACCCTCCTCCTAGTATTTTCACAGGCTCGCCTTTAGTTTCATGTTCCACCCAACCTAATGTCTTCAGTTTACTAGTGTACAAACATAATTCATTCACTACATATCGGAAAGGTGATGTCATTATATGTTTCTTCTCATGAGCAAAACTACTGGTTAATATTACAATGTCCTTGATATTTTCAGACTTGAATTTATCCACGACTTCAGTCAGGAATTGATTTGCATACTTATAAACTAGTGGTGCCCTTAACAGCAGAATTACCACTTTCCTTTCAGCACACTGGTAAAGTTCACAGCAACTTGATATAGAGTCGGACCCAATCTTATAAGGGTCGTATCCCGATATGGGAATAAGTGCAGGACTGTAAATTATTCCGATCTTCGTCATGTTCAAAGAAGAAATTATTAAATCACAAGCGAGTTGCCCAACATTACCAACCGCCACACTTGGTATGACTAGTGTATATCCACTAAAATCACAGTCTGTTAACATTTTCCATTGATTTACTTGAGCCATTATTAATAACACTTGAATTTTTCCTAGGCCGAGTAATTTTAACAAAATTCAAAATCACGACTTTACCAACAATCCAAAATAACCACAACTCATCTAGAGAGGTTCTGACAGCTACATAAGTAAACAATATTTACTACAACTACAACTATTAGTAATACTAATTCTTTTACATTTAAACTAGTATAGATAGGACAAAAAAAAACTATTTTAGCTATGATATAACATTATGTTTACTGAACAACTGTGACCGGCTCATATTTTGGTTTTTAGTATAATTACCATTTTACAATCAAAAAAATACTACACAAATGAGTGGCAGTCACAAGTAGCGTGACAGCATAGTCGAGTCCTGTCGAGTATAGAGTATTTATGTTCTGTGATGATAACACTATATTTTCCCCTCTAAGTAAAAGGTCTTCGGAACCATGTTAATATATGGACCATGTTATTATACATTAAATAAAACGACCATGAACCTGAATCCATGCCTTATTTATATGGCAGCACTGAATTTTCAACCTTTTCTAAACACACCATTCACAAATGTGTAGACTGAAAGACTTGTATCTATGGTAAAATATAATTTTTTTAAAAAAAATACTCGTTTCTCTTCTCTACTACAAAAAGGAAAATTATTATTCTCTGTTCACAGACAAACAGACACATTTCATACGTCTTTACAACATTTCCTATGTAAGCCTTATTACATGTTATTTTTCTGTTTTTGTTGAGAAGTGCCATTATTTAATTGTCCACATCACTGATTATGACCGAAACACAATTACAGGATCCACAGTTAGAAAACTTTGTCCTCACAGAAACACAGAAGCAACGCTTTCAAGTAAGTCCTTTTACTAAATATTATTATTTAATTAATTAAAACTCCCAAATAACATATGAATGCTTAAAATACCACACCTAACCAAGGTTCCCAGGCCACCCTCGACCTTTGACCTAACATTGCTTAGTTTACTTAATGATTATGTTCTATTGTATTAATGAATACTTTTCTGTCTCTGTTTGCCAACGTTCTCAAAGAATTTTTTAGTTTTTAAAAGTAACATATACAATTTAAACATAATCTCATTGAATAAAATCCTTGACTTGAAGTGATAATAACAAATTGTTAAACCTGTGTTTTTATCATGTGCTATTTCATTAAGTATTTGAATATTAATAAATGACAAATATGTACATGTAATTATGGATGGACATCATTAATACTTTATAGAAATGCATTAGAGTAATATGTTTATTCAACTATTGTTTTATATTTTCATTAAAGGTTCTCGTTCACGGGCTGACAGACACATGCTGGGACACATGCATGGGCTGGCCCTCTAACAGGCTGGACTCCAAGACAGAGGTGTGCATTATGAATTGTGTGGAAAGGTTCATTGATGCTACGACTTTCATTACAAGACGATTGATGAACACAACTAAGTACCGTTCCGACGCACCTCTTGTATTCCAGTAAAGTAAGCATACAATAATTTACAAAATGTTTGAAGGATTTAAGGATTTTTTGCGCCGTCACAAACGCAAGTTTGTTGTGACTGGTGCTGTGTTTGGAGGATTATATTTATTAACAAGCTATGCACAAAGAAAATTGCGAGACTGGCAGGAGAAGGAAGCAAAACGGTTTTTTGAAATGACTCGCAAAAAACAACACTTTGAGAGTACTGAACGAACATGTAACCAAACTATATTATCTCTATCAAAAATTGTGACAGAAAGTATCTTAGGTATATTAAATACAGAAGAAATAGTGCAAAAACTGCAGGATAATCCAGATAACAAGTTAGCATTATGGGAACAATTGAAGATTATGATATTCACAAGAATATGTGTCCTTGTGTATGCACTGAGCATATTGCAAGTGATACTACGAGTACAGCTCAACATAATTGGTGGTTATCTGTACAGAGATTCAGTTCATGAGGAAGACTCTCTTGTTGATGGTGAACTGCAAGCAAAGTATTTGTCTCTGTGTCACCATTTTGTAGACAGAGGTGTGGAAGACTTGGTGAAACAGATAGAGACAGCTGTTAAGAAAGTTGTTGAACCTGTATCCTTGAAGAAAAAGATGACTTTGCGAGAGGTGGAGCAAATATTCTGGTCTATACAAACTATATTGTGTACAGACGCCACAGGCGACCCTGTTAAAAAGATGGTGCAGTACTTAATGGGTAATGCAGAAATCAGCGGGGCAAAACTAGACACCATTGTTAAAGAAACAATGGATCTTTTAGAAAGTGATGAAGTCAACTCCATTACCATGTCATCTATAAGTCGCAGCTTCTCATCTATTATAGATGAAATTGCCAACTTATTTGTATCTAAATCTGCACCAACAAGCAAGAATCATTTAGAAGTTAATGTTGATCATGTAATCACGAATGGGGCATTGAAACTAGGAGCAACTCCTGACACATTTGTAGATGTCAATAAGGTAGAGTTACATTTTGTAAAACTGTTACCTGTTATAAGTGAACTCATTACTAAGAACACATGTAAGGGTAACACCAACATTCCAGACTTATTGACTCAGCAGCTCACATTAAGTGACAAATTGAAACTTCTAGGAGCTAACATATATGAAGTATTTAGTAGTGCTTAGGCCTATATTATTTAAATGTGTAAATGGCTCTTGTAATGCCTGTAAATAAGGTCATAAATAATAATGTCTCAGTCACTAAACACATCATTTATGTTAGGGAGGCAGAAATAGTGTCACAATCTGTTATTGTTTCATGTCTAGGTATTTCGGTAGATAAGCTTTTTTGTAATTCTTGCATTTTGGGGACAGTAATAAAAGTAATAATAAAATAAAACAATAGTTTTATTATCCATAAAATGTATACCTAAAATCTACCCCTTCGGTAACTCCATTAGTATTGCTTGTATCCTATAGCAACTATAATAATTGGCATTCCCTATCAAATAAAAATATTACTCGAAAAAAAATCAAGATTGTAACATTTATTGATGGAAATAATTTCTGCATTGTTGAAAGATCCATTTCAAATGATACAAACATAATACGATAAAAGTATCGATCTAAAAATCGATGACCTACTATGACTTGTCAATGTTATCACTACTGTCTTGTATTCATCGGTTATGCGGGTTGGTTGTACTTGTCATCAAGAGGGGAACGATTAAAGTTCAAATAAGACTGAAGAATGTATTGGCAGTATTGACTGCACGGTTGGTGCGGTGGCCGGGCAACTGGCTGCCGTGCAACGTGTGCACGGAACAACTCTTTGTGTGATCCACAAATTGTTGTTCCGGGTCTGGGTGTCTTGTGTATGTGAAATTGTATCTTTGTAACCGCATCCACGACACAGGAGAAAATCCTAATGTGGGGCAACGTTTTTTTTTAAAAAAAAAAAGAGAAAGAGTATGATTTCGACAAAAACTGTACCTACCTTTTTAACATAATGGGCAGGACGATTTCGTATGATATGTTTGATCTATTTTAATTTATGATTTGTTGACCTGGCGCCTTTTTTGAGGGGAAAAATCATCAAATTTCTTCAGAAAAAAAAATACTCCGTTTTATGTTCCTCGCCGAGGCCACGGTACATTTATGTTTTGGCACCCGCAACCATGAGCCGTATCAATAATAACAGTTTTGTTCGTTGCAAATTATCTAATTTGTCTTATTATAAGTTTTTATGGAAAAGAAAATTGACAGAAATTTATTTAAATTTTTCCATATTTTCTCACTTCCAGGAATATTTCATGACCATCGGCCCTCGTTTCAGATTTATTTAGCGAAATTAACCTATAGGAAATCTTTTTGTTACAGCCTACAAAGTCGGCTGCTTACTTACATTATAATACCTTATGACCGCTATAGAGCCAGTCACCATTGTCCGCTTAGACTATAGAAAAGTATATTTAATTCCTCCATGATTGTCCCGATTGTCCGACACGGCGTTCAATGAGAAAAGAAAATATCACTTGCATATTGTTTATATGAATATAGTTGTTTGAATGGCGTCATTCAGAAACTTCCGTAGGTATGAATTCACTTTACTGTCTATTCATCTAAATTGTGTAGGTACATAAGTAAAGGAATAATTATTCGACTCCAGATTTATATAATATTGTTCATAGTCTTTTGATTTTAAACACGGCAAAACGAGGAGACGGATTACCTGATGGTAAGCGATCTGCGCCGCCCATGGACACCTGTAAAACCAGAGGAGTCACGAGTGCGTTGCCGGCCTTTTATTGATTTTAGTAATAATTGTGCAAGTAAACCTTGAGTATGTAACGTATTTTCAGTCTCAAAAGTCTAGTTCGGGGAATACCGGGACCGATCGACTTTTGCTTAAAAAAAGATCTTCTCTCGTCCTGGGTGTGGTGAATAAAGATTTCAGTCCCGACACATTTTCGAGTCCCGAGAAAACAAATGGAGACTCGGTCGGTCCCAGGATTCCCGATAAAACGAGACATTCGAAAATGAAAGTTAAGTTTCGTCCTCTAGGTTTAGGTCAGTTTAGTTACTTATAAATTAAGCAGTTAGATACCTAATACATTCAAAATATTAAAATAGGTACTAGCTTTTGCCCGCGACTCCGTTCGCGTGGAATAGTGAATTCTTGCAGATTTTCGGTATAAAAACTCTATAATGTCCTTTCTCGAGTTCCAAATGATGACTATACCAAATTTCACAGAAATCTGTTCAGTAGTTTAAGCGTAAAGAAAAGACAGACAAACAGAGTTACTTTCGCATTTATAATATTAGTTTGAATTGCTGTTGCACTCGTAACTCCTGCTGGAAATCGGCACTTTGTGTGGTGTGTTGGCTCTTTGGCATCTGTGGTGGTCTGTTGGCTTTTTGAGGCACGCGCCCTACGCTTATTGGATCTGGGTCTGGTTCTAATCTGGCGGCTAGCAACCTTTGCCCGTCCACAGACCCGCACTTATGGTGGTGAATACCAAGTTTTATGCTTTTGAATACAGGTAATCCGGGCTCTAGCTGCTGTACTCTAAATCACTAAAAACTAACCTGGTATCCCCTAGTCCCGTTTCTTATTTCTGTTAGAAGAAATAAAGAGAAACCTAATCGTCAACATTTGTTTAGTTATATAATACGTAACACATAATAAAATAATTATGACGACATATATTATAATTCTACCTTTATTATTAATACATTTTAACACTATAGTTTAACAAAACATTCTAATTGCTTAGCTTTGTTAGACTCTTTAGAATGCACAGTTAGAATGTTGGGTAAGGTAGTTATTATTTTTTCTTTTCCGGTCTGCCCACAGATGGCGCTGTAAGCAACAATTTACATGCAATATTCATAGTGAACTCTTGTACTTCTGGCTGTTTATGTTCTTATAAACTCAGGAGTTATATATACACTTGAATTTGTGATGATAAAAATGAATATAACAAAGTTTTTTATTATGATCTGGATAACGCATACTATAATGTTCGCGCAGTAAACAGTGGGTAGGCACACCAATAACAAGGACACAATATTTCTACATTGGATGTTCCATAAAAAAATACATATATTTGATGACTTTTGATAGTTTTGCGTACCTAGTGTATGTAACCTATATTTATTCATGGATATCAGAATCATTTAGGTACGAATTGGCTGAAGGGCTGCCCTTCAACCAAAACGCCGTAATTCTTATCGCCAACTAGGTATAATTCTGTGATTGATAAGAATTACTATTGAAAACTGTTTATAGCAAAAAGCAATCACGATGTATGGATGAAGCTAGTGTTTACTAGGTATAACTAGCTAAGTAAGTACTTTAGTTTTACGGTAATTATACCTAACATTAGTCACATTCTTAGATTAAGACACGAATGCTAATATAACAAAATAAAAACTTTCTAAAGTTTTACACTCCAGATATTCCAGAAATATTTTAAAGGTTTTATTTTGGCTCCATAACATTGATCTGGTCCCCACCAGATGAGAGAGCCATGCTTCTTCACGAATGGGTCGGTTCGACCAGAGTCATACCACGACCTCACAGAAAACCAGCTTGGAACCACCACAGCGTTGTGTGAGTGAGGTTACAGGAGGCCCAACACTTTACCTCCCCAATCCCTAAATCTCCCAATCCCTAATTCCCTGATTGTGACTCCTTAGTTGTTGCGGGTGTCCATGAGCGGCGCTGATTGCTTACCATCAGGTAATCAGTATGCCGATAAATCACATAAAAAAATAGTAAATTCTATAAGTAGGTAGGAAGGTACATTACCTTCCTCAATATCATCGCGTACCTACAATTTATTTCAAAAAACCCTATAAATAATTTGCGAAAGCGCGCCAATGTAGATACTTATTTACTTATAAATTTTCATAAGAGTTGTTTTAGCTGGCTAAAAACAAAACCTTGTTGGTATCTACGTACGATTGAGAACTACCTACTAAACGAAAAATAAAAACCATTTCTTTCTGCAACTAAAAATAATTGCAATACTAATAGAATGCAATTAACATTACTTATGAATTGAATATGAATATTCTTGTACAATTCTATTTAAAGACGCAAATTATCTAATATTAATCAAGACGTTCTCTTTGTTGTTCGTTTCGGCATCTAAATGAGTGACAGCGGGCAAGTAGAACGTCTCCCTGTACTTTTTTAAAAATAAATGCAGCCGATACAATATTACGACATTTGGTCACAGTCACAGCTGTAATCTTATGCAATGGCTAAGATATTTTGATGAATGCTGAAAACGTTTCCGTGCACATGTTCCAATCATTCAAGGAATTAACTAAACTATTCTCTTCCATGGATCTATTCAACTGGGAAAGTTGGTATGTACCTATTACTTCGTGATAGTACTGTGAATGTAGGTAGATAGGTACTTAAAACATGACATAATGTAGGAGTTAGCTCCGATATCATACAGATAAAATGCAGATATTTATGGAAGTTATACCTCTTAGATACAAAGGCGCGATACGAATGCGGATGTGATGATTAGAAAACAATAATTTAAGTTTGGAAATCCCTATTCCTCAAATACCTAACCCTCAAAAAGAGGGCAACGTTCTTGCAACTTCTCTGGTATTTCCCACGAGCGCAGCAGAACCAATAAAAAAAATCGTCACAGCTTCTTATATCCGTAAAAAAGAAAAATACGTTTGTGGTTTTTTATTGTTTTTCCCGATATTTTGTGACTCATTTATTATCTACAATTGAATAACGATTAGATATATAATTTATGACTCGTTCATACCTATCTAGCCCCGTTCTTGAAGCAGTCAACTTCAGCTATCTAAACACAGTTCTGTCGTCGTTGGAGTTTTATTTTCACTTTATACAATAAACCTTTGGGTACGTATTTAATGTTTCCCAAACATTATCTATCTGAACTCCTTTATAACATAACAATCTGCTCTACGCTTGTTATAGTTCACATAAGTAGGAAAAACCTTTTATGATTATTTTTTTATTGGCCCGGTTAAAGTTAAAACCTATACTGAAAAAAAAATGGCTGAAGTTTTGGCTAGATATTGTTTAGCAAACCATGGAGTATCGAATCTAACACAAGTGTTTAGATACATATCTATCTACATATTATAGGTAGTTCAAAACTATGTTTCTATAATGTATGCATTATGTAGTGGTACCATGTTTTAGGTTTTTAGGTTTTAGGTACATTTACAAAAATAATAAAACATTGCCAATCAACCGTTAACGTTTTTAAAGACGTTTTTCGTACCCAAGTCTTGACAGATTTATTGTGACTTGTGCCTAAATCTTCAGATAAACTTGTAGGTAACGGTACTTGTTCCCGCCTCCTTAAATATTGGTTAAGTAAGGCTAAGTATTTTTAGATGGATATTGATAATAGTTTCAGTGTATCACATGTGTCGTCGGCAGTCGAAGTGACGTCCACCTGGAGCGGTGGGTGTGTGCACCGTGTGCCTGTCAATGCGGAGTGGATATGCGGCAAGCGGCGTGACGCGACCTGCGCACGCAGCCTCGGCCCGCAACTGCCAATAACCCGCTAGAAGCCGTAGAGCGCGCGCCACTCGCTCCTGAACAAAATATCGACGCGTAAACCTACTACCACCCTAATAACTCGTTTCGATAACTGTGCCATAGTTTTACAGTGCAACTCTTTTCAATAATTCGCTGGATTTTACAAAATTATCGTTCTCCATGAAAACAGTCGATCAGTGCACCGCGTTATCAGTTTATCAGTGACTGCTCAACACACGTTTTTTCACGTAAGTACAATCTATTATTATACATATATGTAATGTATATTTATTTTGCGGAATCTGTTTATTCGATTCAATTTCTTATCTTGCTGTGTGTAAGTAAATAAATACTTCCCGCAACATATAGAGAGCTCTTTGAATCCGAAATCATACAGATACTCGGATTAAAATTGACTGAAAATTTTATTATCACGGCAATTTTTGTCTTAGAATATTTAGGAGAACCTAAGCTTACATTTGCGATGAAAGAATATACTTAAGTACTTTTATTTTTCTTTTACCTAACTAGTAGGTGCTAGTACTATATTTGCATAACGAATACCTAAATCCACCAAGTCTCAATTTACAATAAATATCGTACTGCCTAACTTCACCGCGGTAGCTACATTATGTCACTTAGGTACATTACGTAAGTAAGTTATTATTTTCAAGAAGTGCGTAAGTACTTTTTATTATTGGTTTATAATTTAGAATCAGTTTGAATTGTAGGTACGGCGTTTGTAGGTAGGTACTTAGGTTATAAAATTATTTCGCTTATCAATTATTTTGAAAAACCGCAACTAGGTACTTACAGTAGGTACCTATCCTCAAACCTGCGACAAAACTAAACATATACATTTGTCATTATGTATGTACCATACGTGTATACTTACACTTAAGTACTAACTATAAAAGAATTAATAGTTATGTATACTATCCAGATTAAATTATCTAAAGAAGTCAAAAGGTTACTGTATCTCGTAATTATGTGTAGAAAATATTAATTCAAATAAAAAATAATACAAAGAATACATTAACACATTCTTGATTTTTTTATTATTTAAATGTAGGTATCATCACTAGGTCCTGTTTATGGGTCTGTTTATAAAACAAAACAGATTAAATATGAGAACATTATCAAGTACAAAAATTAAACTCAGTGATTAAAGCTGGCTGAAATTGCAAGTTATCGAAATTTAAACGTATTAAAACACTAATCGAACACCAACAAATTCATTCCTACTACTTAAAATAGATAAATAATAATAGGACGATATTGTTAACTTAGTAAGTGGAGTAAATACTACTTACTATAATGTAATGAATTTAGGTAGGTACTTACTAATGGATGTTAAAGCGGCCGCTTCTTATTAAGTACATGAGGGTGCGGGTTCGAAGCCTGGGAAAGTGGCAAGTAGGATGTGTCTTTTTCCGAGTTATATGTAAGTAATTTCCATGATTATTTAGACACCACTCACATAGTTACCCAAGGAAAACAACGTGACTAAACCTGGACTTATAATTTCTAATTACAAGTTTGAAATCGCCAATCCGCATTGAGCAAGCGTTTCGATTGATGTGAAAACCTTCTCCGTGTGAGAAGAGGTCTTTGCTCAGCAGTGGGCACTTACAGGCTGATGATGTGACTAAATGGATCGACTGTACGGTACTACGTGCTTCGCTACGTAATACTTAAATAAAGAATCTCTTGATCAATTTTGTGCAAATTCACATAAACCTTCTACAAAATATTCCGAACAAAGTCAAAAAAATCGATTGGTATAAGTACGTCAGCCTTCTTGAGTTATAGAATTACAACGAAAAAAACATTATTATTTTTTATTTAAATATTGATACCGACATCGTTTGTACCACAGCCATGACAAAAAAGAAGAAATCTAAAATGTTCAATTGGCTGTCACTCTTTAAGTATTTATTTAAATTAATAATTAACTTCTCAATCGTGGTAGTTCGAGACACAATATTAATAAACAGTAGATGCGCGAACACCGTCGTTCGCTTGGGGTTTTATGAATTAAAGTCTACCTAAATAATTCCAATATTTTCCTTCCTTCTATGTATCCGTTGCAGCCAAAATCAATCAACCAGCTAACCTTTTGAATGCAGTAGATACAATATTAGTACTTAACTGTTTATTTGCGACAGGGATTCGGTGCAGTTCACAGTAATTCTAACTTAACCTAACCTACCATTCTGGTAGCAACTCGGTTGACATTGATCATGACAATCCCTTTACCCTTCAATTTAAGCCGTTGGCTTTTTTTCAAAATCATCAAATGACTTCACCCACCCAGGGTGGGGCAGGAGGGAGTGTCAGACTCTTGCTGACTAAAAACCCCCCCGTTCCTTACCTTGCTCTGGGCCGACGCTGCGGTTCCTCATTGCGCTTGCCCCGCAAACCCAGCTGATTCAGGCCGTTGACTGTATGGCTATTAAGCTGCGACAGATACATATATTAGGTACTTAGCTATGTATATTTTCTTTCTATCGAAAGTTAAATTACAATACACGGTACCTACCTATTGGTATCTTGAAACTGAAAATGAAACGTGTTTTAAAATTACCTTCTGAAGATAAATAGGCAGGTGGGCAACCATAGTTTGAAAATAAAAAGATATCGTGTAAATTAAATAAAAAATGCTTACTGTATATAAGTAAGTATAAAGTTAAGTAATACTTCTAACACTTTAGTTTTTAATGTGTAAATTAATTTTGTCCTTGGGGTGGGAAACTGCTGCAACTTGACTGCAGTTACTGCATTTGTTTAAGAAATCATTATCCACGCAGGTTTTTAAGCACGTCAGTTACATATGCCATCAATGTTTTTTTAGATTTCTTAGTTCTTAGTTCTCACACGGATCAAGTTATCAAAATCATAAATTGTGGTTCAATCGTTAACTGTGTTTTTGTTAGGTAGTGTTTAGGATTAATTTTGATGAAAGTTTGTTGGTAACAATGTATATTATCATTATAAGTAGGTAAATGCAATTTTTAAAAAGGGGATAGTTATAATCACATCCTTTTAAAGTAAGCACTAGAATAGGTACTAGCAATATTTACAATTTATACATAATTACATAATCGATTCATTGTAAGTATTACGTAGCTCGCAGGTCGACACCGATTTAGCTTAGCTGTACTTAATTCGCATTAGTAGGCAACTAATCGATTCTATTTTACTTCGATTAAGATACTGAATCCAATCATTTCTCTTCTATCGCTATTGTAGGTACCTACCTACATTAGAAAGACCTCGAGATACGCAAGTACCAAAACGGAAACAATGGCTAGTTTTCATTTTAATTGCCTACTCTACTTTACGATTGCTAATTAGTAGTATCTATAGGAAAAGTGCCATACAACACGAACAACAAAATTTTTATCTAATAACTATTAATAGTTAATTGAAATTGTTGATTTTTGATCTGGAGAAATTTTAGATTTCTTGATAAGTAGTGTACAAAGAACATGCCTATTATTATAGTTCTAAGTGTCTCCTGAAAAGTTGATCATAAGCTCCTTTGCTAATTAAGGTATCATATATATAATAATTATAATAAACTAGCTACTCTCGCGCGGTTTCACCCGCTGCTCGGCTCCACTTGATCTTAGCGTGATGTTTTATATAGCCTATAGCACTCAGGAACATTGTAGCTATCTGTCAGTGAAAGAATTTTGGAAATCCGACCAGCGGTTCGAAAGTTTACCCCCTAAATACAAACTTACAAATTTTACCTCTTTATAATATTAGTATAGATTATACTACTATATATACATACAGTTACACAACAAAATTTTGAATATGTAAGATATAAACACAGACAAGCACTTTAACACTTCTACTCGTAAATACCTATGTAGTAGAGCTAACATAACACAGTTAAGTACTCTTCATTAACAAGTCTAGATTAAACATTCATACACAAGTATCGATATCAATTTGAAGCGGACATCAAACACTCGACCAGACCAATATCAGTTGTTCAGCCGGGGTTGCGGGGTAAGCGCAATGAGGTACCGCGACCTCGGCACAGAGCAGGAGAAGGAACAGGGGGGTTTTTAGTCAGTAAGAGTCTGACACTCCCTCCTGCCCGGCCTTGGGCGGGAGAAGTCATTTGATGATTTTCGCCTCACAAAAAGAAAGACCAATATCAGTTACTAGGTATCTCATAGTTCTTATACATTTAATAATATGTATTACTAGCTACTCTCGCGCGGTTTCACCCGCTGCTCATCTCCTACAGATCGTAGCGTGATGTTGTAACTATCTATCAGTGAAAGAGTTTTGGAAATCCGACCAGCGGTTTCAAAGATTACCCCCTATATACAAACTTACTAATTTTACCTCTTTATAATATAAAGTATGGGCCGGGGCTGCGGGGAAAGCGCAATGAGGCACCGCGACCTCGGCCCAGACCAGAAGAAGGAACGGGGGGGGGGGGGTGGGGGCTGTAAGGGGGCTGTACTATGCCGCTAAGCCGGGGTTGCGGGGCAAGCGCCAAGTCGACGTGGCCTCGGCCTAGAGCAAGAGAAGGAACGGGGGTCTTAGTCAGTAAGAGTCTGTCACTCCCACCAGCACCAGGACAGGAGAAGTCATTTGATGAAAAAAAGGAATTAGGAATAGAGATTTATACACTCTACACAATATCAGTCTTTAAAATTTGAGTTACCTCTAGGGGTCCAGCACATTGAGAGAGATAGGTACTATGGATCTTACGGAATAGCCCAGATATGATGATGATTATCAAAAATTGTGACCTCTTTAGTCATCTCAAATGGCAAACCTAACCTTTACCTGAACCTTTGAGGAATAAATAGGATTTACTTAAATCGTACAAATTAGGTAGATTTTCTGCAATAATGAAGTATAGTATATATTTCGTATTACTAAGTTTTCGCTTATAACCTATTTTATTAAAAAAATGTCACGTTATGTATACATTTTGTTTTCAAAGAACGGAACAGTAATAATTTGTATCGATAAAGAACCCATATAAGTGTGACTAACAATGTTGCTTTTAAATTAGTATTAATTTAATAATTTTAAAAACAATGTTTTGTTTGGGATATAACGTCACTTAATATATTACCTACATATTAGATGTAGGTACTTATGTAGTAAGTATGAGTATGTCGTAGATTTATTGTCGGATTGACCAGACCAGGATAAGATGGCTAGATAACGAAATGAAAAGTTGTCGCATCGCAACGCGACTGCTTTGGGG